ATATATTCATTCAGAATATTCATTCTATAGAAGATGTTTGCACTCCATTGTGAAAATAAAGAGGAGACAAGTGGGGCAGACAGAGAGCCGGCTCCATAGAAAACCATAGAGACATCTCCCTGAACTCATTAATGAGGACTGGGAATCAGACTGGAATCAGGCATGGTCTATATTTCCGAATGCAACGAATAATGGAGATTGGTGCGATCCACAGCTGCATTATTAGCGCTGTCAGGGGATAACATGTGTGTACATACTACATACAAATCCTAACAACGAATATGTCTGCATGGCTAGTGCAGGAGGTGATCACAGACACCGGAGTTACCTGCATTCCTCACCACTTTCTGAGAGACATGAAATCAGTGTTCATTGCGATAAAACATTGTGGGGGAGATTTACTAAAAGTGGTGCATTCAGAATCTGGTGCAGCTGTGCATGGGAGCCAATCAGCTTCTGACTTCAGCTTGAACAATTAAGCTTTGACTATAAAACGTAGAAGCTGATTGGTTTCTCTGCAGAGCTGCACCAGATTTTGTGTGCGTCAGTTTTAGTATTATTATTATTATTATACAGTATTTATAAAGCGCCAATAGTTCGCTCAGCGCTGTACATTACAAAGGGAGACAGAACATGTGACAGAACAATACCAATACAATGCAAAACATGAGGGGATCAAGGGCCCTGCTCTTTCGAGCTTAGTAAATATCTATCTATCTATCTATCTATCTATCTATCTATCTATCTATCTATCTATCTATCTATCTATCTATCTATCTTTTGCATATTATAACATTATAATTCTAATTAGGTCTCTGTCCTTCTATCTGCCCACCATGTATATATCTGTATGCAGCTGTAATTTAGTCTGTCCACATATGAATGCATCTGTTTAATGATCTATCTATCTATCTCTATCTATCTATCTATCTATCTATCTATCTATCTATCTATCTATCTATCTATCTATCTTTGGGTATTCAAACTGAACACAACTTCACATTTTTCTATAAGTGCACACTGTCTATTCTGTTTCTATTTCCATCTGCACTATTTCCCTTTATACTGGTTATGCTTTAATTTTTATATGTAACTGATATATATATATATATATATATATATATATATATATATATATATATATATATATATCTGTTTAAAATCATTTAATCTAGGTGTATATGAATCTTACCATCTATCTATCTATCTATCTATCTATCTATTTATTTTATACTACAACAGTTGGTGCTTTATTGATCTCTACACATGTGAATATATCTAATTATCCATCTATCTAGCCTGTTTTATGGTACTATTATTACAATATATTCTCTTATAATTATATTTCTACCTCTACCTATATCCATATGCTATTTAAGTTTAACAATCTATCAATGTATCTATCTTATCTATCGTATCTATCTATCTAGATTGTAAGCTCCAAGGAGCAGGGCCCTCCTAACCCTCTTGTATTGAACTGTATTGTTGCTGTATTGTCTCCCATTATATAAGTGCTGAGCAAACTGTTGGCGCTATATAAATCCTGTAAAATATTAATAATAATAATAATAATAATAATAATAATAATCTATCTGCACTTGTATATATGTTTACTATATATATATATATATTATTATTAATATTATACAGTATTTATATAGCGCCAAAAAGTTTGCTCAGCGCTGTACGTTATAGTGGGGGACAGTGCATGAGACAATACAGTAACAATACAATACACGAGGGGTTCGAGGGCCCTGCTCCTTGGAGCTTACAATCTAGGAGGATATATATATATATATATTTAGGAGGATCTTACAATCTAGGAGGATATTTATATACATATATATAAAATGCTGTATATTATAATATATATTCTTTCTTTCTTTCTTTCTTTCTTTCTTTCTTTCTTTCTTTTCTTTTTCTTTCTTTCTTTCTTCCTTCTTCCTTCCTTCCTTCCTTCCTTCCTTCCTTCCTTCCTTCCTTCCTTCCTTCCTTCTTCTTCTTTCTTTCTTTCTTTCTTTCTTTCTTTCTTTCTTTCTTTCTTTCTTTCTTTCTTTCTTTCTTTCTTCTTTTTTTCTCCTTTCTGGAATTCCAAGCACACACCCAAAGAAGATACAGACTGCAGAACAATGTTTATTCAGTGTTTGTGAAAAGGAACAGCAGCAATTGGAAACATTAGCAGTGTGACCAACTTAAAGATCCCCATAACGTATTTTCCACGCTGAAATGGATTGGTATTGGATGGAGCCTTGTACAGCTTACTTCTCAGCATGAAGTGTGACTCAGGTCGGGTTGGAGAGGTTGCAGTAAGGCCGTACCTCATTTACCCAGCAGGGGGCAGCTCTGTTCAGTGTATGGTGAGGACAATTACCAGCTCTATCTAGCACCTTAGCAGCTGATTGCCAAAAACTCCACGCATGACTTGTTATTCATGAAAAGTCACTGGCAGCTTCTGCAGACAAAGGGATCATTGTTCTGTGAATAGTTAGAGGCAGCATTTTACACTGACTTGTTCGTAAACTGTAAGGTCTGTTTGTATTATATTACACATTTGTACTTGATTTTATTATTCATTTTACCAGATTTATGAAATACGATATTTTGCTGACTGCAGAGAAAATTATTTCATCTTCTAAGTATAGAGGATTCCATAAAGCTCAGAAAACCTATACATATTCACAATTGTTCACAAACTGTTTATATATATATATATATATATATATATATATATATATATATTTATATATTTATAAAACATTTTTATTTAAAATTATTTTTAATAAATCATAAAACTACAAAATATGATAAACAAAAATAACAATACTAAGTTATAAACTGTCTTATTAGAGCTTCAAATCTAATTGGGGGCTAAGGTAAAAATACAGATTCCTATCTGAGGAAGCTTGATAATTAAAACATAATAATAGTCATAACAAAAACATAAATAATAATAATACATACCATTTTACTGATCTTATTATGCATGTTTTTTTCTAGCATGAAATTTTCTGTTTGATGATCTGTAAATACTTATGTAAAATTGTCCTTTTTCCCCCGAGTACCTGCATCTGGTATACGCCATGCCAGATTAAACTATGTGGAGGCCTCTAGACAGCTGAAACCTGGGGCCCCCCTCACAGGTTTCTGGAGGTTTCTAGTAGAACGTGGGCCATGCACGTTGGGCACTAGATGGAGATTACATGTACGTAGTTTGCACCAGAATTTTTTACAAACTAAAAGCTGAAAGAAGCTGAGCTTTTAAGAGGCAAACTGCAATGTGAACCTGATGTTTATGGTTTATGTACTTTAATTTGGTGTTGGGTAATTTATATTAATATAGTATTTTCTCTTTAGAGAATTTAATGCAAAGTTTTTGTTTCTTTGAGCTAATTAATTTTTTCTATCTTTTGTAAACAATTTAAGAAAGCTTCATTGTAATTTTCTTTAACCACTTGCCCTCCTGAAGATTTACCCCCCTTCCTGACCAGGCCTCTTTTTGCTATACAATGCTGCACTATTTCAACTGGTAACTGCGCAGTCATGCAATGCTCTACCAAAACAACATTTATGTATTTTTTTTCACACAAATAGTGCTTTTTTGGTGGTATTTGATCACCTGTACGCTTTTTAATTTTGGCGCTATAAACAAGAAAAGACCAAAAATTAAAAAAAAAAAAAAACGATTATTTTAACTTTCGGCTATAAAAAAATATATAGCAAACTCAAAGTTAGTCATAAATTTAGGCCAAAATGTATTCTGCTACATGTTTTTGGTAAAAAAAATCCCAATAAGTGTACATTGATTGCTTTGTGTGAAAGTTATAGCGTCTACAAACTATGGTATACATACTGCAATTTATGCCATTTTTTGCTGTACAGCGCTGCACTAATTTAACTGACAATTGCGCAGTCATGCAATACTGTACATAAATAAAATGTATGTCCTTTTTTTCACACAAATAGAGTTTTCTTTTGGTGGTATTTGATCACCTTTGTGCTTTTTAATTTTCACGCTATAAACAAAAAAAGACAGAAGAAAATTTGAAAAAAACCTGATATTTTCTCATTTGTGTCATAAAAAATATCCAAAATGTATTCTGCTAAATGCTTTTGGTAAAAAAAATCCCAAGAAGTGTTTATTTATTGCTTTGTGTGAAAGTTATAGCATCTACAAGCTATGGTAAAGATAATGGAATTTACACAGCTTTTACTTTCTGACTGCCCATCACATTTCTTGAGGTGCTAAAATACCAGGATAGTACAAACAAATCCAAATGACCCCTTTTCAGAAAGTAGATACCTTAAGCTATATGCTGAGAGGCATATTGAGTCCATGGAAGATTCTTTTTTTTCAAAGTCTTTGGAAAATGACAAAAACATTTTTTTTTACAAAAAGTTGTCATTTAACCACTAGCCTACAGGACACTTATACCCCCTTCCTGCCCAGGCCAATTTACAGCTTTCAGCGCTGTCACATTTGAATGACAATTGCGCGGTCATGCAATATTGTACCCATATGAAATGTTTATAATTTTTTGGAGACAGATAGAGCTTTCTTTTGGTGGTATTTAATCACCTCTGGGATTTTTATTTTTTCTTAAACAAACCAAAAACCACTGAAAATTTTGAAAAAAAAAAGTTTTTTCTTAGTTTTTGTTATACAATTTTGTAAATAAGTGATTTTTCTCCTTCACTGATGTGCGCTAATGAGGCTGCAGTGATGGGCACTGATAGGCTGCACTGATGGACACTGATAGGTGGCACTGATGGGCACTGATGAGGAGGCACTGGTAAGTTGCACTGATGGGCATTGACAGGCATCACTGATGGGCACTGAAAGGCAGCACTGATACATGACACTGATACATGACACTGATATATGGCACTGATAGGCAGCACTGATAGGCAGCACTGACTGGCACTGACTGGCACTGTTAGGCAGCACTGACTGGCACTGTTAGGCGGCACTGACTGGCACTGATATGTGGCACTGACTGGCACTGACTGGCACTGATAGGCGGCACTGACTGGCACTGATAGGTGGCACTGATTGGCAGCACTGATAGGTGGCACTGATTGTCATTGATAGGTGGCACTGACTGGCACTGATGGGTGACATTGAAAGGCAGCTCAGATGGGCACTGATATGTGGCATTGATGTGCACTGGTATGCACTGATATGTGGCACTGATGGGCACTGATGGGCACTGGCACTGATGAGCACTGACAGGTGGCACTTCTGGGGCCACACTGATCATCAGGGCACACTGATCATCAGTGCCCTGATGTTCAGTGTACATGTCCCCTCCGCGGAAAGCCGATTACCGGCTCTCCTCTCGAGCTGTCAGTGTGACAGCTTGAGAGGAGAGAAATGCTGATAACCGGCATTTCCGTGTTTACATGTGATCAGCTGTGATTGGACACAGCTGATCACATGACCGAGCCGACATCTTCAGTTCTTTCTGTGATCCGCTGTGTCCGAGGGACACAGCGGACTGGCGATCGCCTCGCTGCGCACTCCCTGAGCCGCGCATGTGCAGTGAGAATGGTAAGACGTCATATGACGTCCCTCTCAGAACGAGAGAACCACCTTGCGCCTGTCATTGTACTATAGGGTGGGCGGAAGGTGGTTAAATGATATATTGCTCACACAAGCCATGGGTATATGTGGAATTACATCCCCAAAATACATTCTGCTACTTCTACCGAGTATGGGGATACCACATGTTTGAGACTTTTTGGGAGCCTGAAATCCAATGACCACTTTTCTCTTGTATTAAAAGAGGTATAGACTCCAGAGAGAGAGATATTATATTACCCCGGTACAAATCATTAGTAACATCTCATCTGGAATATGCAGTTCAGTTTTGGGCACCAATTCACAAAAAGAACATTGGGGAACTTGAGAAAGTACAGAGAAGGGCAACTAAACTGATAAGAGGCATGGAGGAGATCAGCTATGAGGAAAGATTAGAGGAGCTGAATTTATTCCCTCTTGAGAAGAGGAGATTAAGGGGGGATATGATCAACATTTATAAATTCATCAGTGGTTCACATAGTGAACTCAGTGTAGAGCTATTCACCCTGAGGTCATCACAGAGGACAAGGGGGGACTCTTTATGTCTGGAGGAAAAGAAATGTAATCTCCAAACACGGAAAGGTTTCTTCACAGTAAGCGCTGTGAAAATGTGGAATAGACTCCCTCAAGAGTTGGTTCTGGCCAGCTCAGTGGATTGCTTAAAAAAAGGTCTGGATTCTTTCCAAGATACAAAGAATATAACTGGATACTAACATTTATAGGTACAGTTGATCCAGGGAATATCCGATTGCCTCTCGGGGGATCAGGAAGGAATTTTTTCCCAGCAGGAGCAAATTGGATCATGCTTTGCTGGTTTTGTTTGTCTTCCTCTGGATCAACTGTGGTATAGGATAATAACTTTTTTTTTTCTATGGTTGAACTGGATGGACTTTTGTCTTTTTTCAGCCAGACTAACTATATAACTATGTAACTTTGAAAGCCTGAAGGTGCATAACTTCCTCATTTCACTTCCTCATTAAATCACAGTTTTGGAGGCTCTGAAACGCCAGAATAGCACCAAAACCCCCCCCCAAATGACCCCTTTTTGGAAAGTAGACACCCCAAGGAATTTAAAAAGAGGCATGGCGAGTATTTTGCAGATCTCATTTTTTCTCACAAGGTCTTGAAATATTAAAAAAAAGAAAAACATTTTTCTTTTGCCATTTTCCAAAAACTTGTGGTAAAAAAAATTAATTCTTCTATTGACTCAACATGCCTCTCAGCAAATAGTTTTGGGTGCCCAGCATTAGAAGTTTATGCTACGCATCACTCACTCTTCTAACCACCTGAAGACCAAGCATTTTCTGACACTTTTTGTTCACTTTTTTAAAAAAAATCTGTATTTTTTGCTAGGAAACTACTTTGAACCCCCAAACATTATATATTTTTTTAAAGCGGACACCCTAGTGAATAAAATGGTGGGTGCTGCAATTTTTTATGTCACATAGTACTTACGTAGCAATTTTTCAGATGCAAATGCTTTGAAAAAAAAAATACACTTTTTTTTTTAATTTTAATGCACAAAATATTGGCCAATTATTTGGTAACATATAAAAGATGATGGTATGCCAAGTAAATGGATATCAAACATGACATGCTTTAAAACTGCACATGCCCAGTGCAATGGTGACAAACTGCATACATTTTTAATATCCATAGGCAACGCTTTAAAAGCCTTTACAAGATACCTTTTAAATTTACAGAGGAGGTCTAGTGCTAGAATTACTGCCCTTGATTTGATGTCCGTGGCAACACCTCACATGCATGGTGCAACCGCTGTTTACATGCTGCTACAGGGTCAGCACTCGAGCAGGTAGGTGCACACATGGGGGGGGGGGGGGGGGGGGGGGGGGCGAGGGTGCTTTTTTTTTTTTTAAGTTAATTTGATTTTTTAAATTATTTTTACACTGTCCCTCTCATTTTTTTTTTTTTGGATCACTTTTAATGATATCGCAGGGAATGCAAATATCCCCTATAACTTCAATGGGCATTGTCATATATTATTTTTTGAGAAATCTGGGGTCTGTCAGACTCTAGATATCTCCTCTGCTCTTACATTATCTAATCTCACCAAGATCAGTGTGATCAGATGCTTTCCCAATATACAAATGGCGCTGTTTATATCCTGAGAAACTGAAGTGATTAAGTGCTCGTAGCTTCTGATTCTTAGACTATAGAGATGATTGGCACCATTTCCATCTCCAATCAGCTCTATGGTCAGCTGGCAGAAACACCGGCTGCATTCTCAGGTGCCCCCAATGGCATGGGACTGCCTGAGAAGGCCGTGCAAGGCAGCGGTGGAGGGAGGCATCTTCTCCCACTGCTTGTAAAAGCAATCTTGCAGCTAATTAGACACTAGGATTGTTTTTACATGAAAGCCGATCGTCGGCTGAAAAAAACAATACCAGGATGATGCCTGCAGCTGCAGGCATCATCCTGGTATAACCATGCAAAATTCAGTGATATACCAGTACGTCACTGGTCCTTGTTGGGTATATATGCTATGTTCTTTTTTTTTATGCAGCCTGTGGGCTGAATGAAAAAAAGAGAAGAAATCTCTGCCAGAAAAAGTGTGTGGAATGCTCACCAATAGACTATACCGCCCTGCATCCACCCACTTCTAATGGTGGGCACACATGAAATGTGCCAAAAAATATTATAAAATATATATGCCAAAACATAGGGGCCATCCACCCACTGGCCACCCCAGGCCCCTATGCTTTGGCATATATGCTCTTTTTTTAACTGCGGATGAAAGATCTCATCCAACAGCGCTGCCCCTACACTGGTTGGTGCTGAAGCTGAATGACATTCCTGCAAAGAAAACAGCAATGGTTAACAATACAACAGTAAAATCGTAACAGTAGAACAGTAACAACAACAACAAAAACTATTTTTGTTTTTTAAAAATTTTTAATTTTTTTTTGGGCTTAAACTGTTTATTTTTTGGGGTTTTTTTTTACTTTTTTTTTAACTTTAACTTTTTAAAACAGATTGTAGGGTCTCTGAAAATGCAATAGCCAGTTTCCTGACTACCAAACATCTTTTGAGACTCTGTGTAAATATGTGCCCTGTATCCTATACTAATACTCCACTAGTGTATGGTAGTGATGGAAGCAGTCCTTGAGGCAGATACCAGGTTGGCCAGGACAGGAGGGACAAAAAAAGCGTGTGTCACTTCTTATTCCGTGTCTGTTACAGACACGGCATCTTCTTTGGGGTGACCTTTGGGTTGGGGTACCAGAGAGGACATCCGGAAATTGCTTCTCATACAGCTGGCTAACTGCCTCTGGATTTGAGGATTGAGCCACAGCACCTTCTGGATACAAAAGGGCCGTGATGATCTCTTCCTGGAATTTTGGGAAGGATCCACTTTGTCCAGTTGCTTTGTAAAAGCAACTCATGGGAAAAAGAGCACCTTGCTGTCAAGGGCTGCTTGAACCGCTACAAAAAAATTTACTGGCAAGTGCTAACATAGATCAGGTCTGATTCTGTGAACACTGCGGTTTTTGTGTGCAATGTATTACAGGTGACAGTGATCAGAAATTATACTGACACTTCACTTCTTGTTAGGGGTGGGGGGGGGGGAGCGTTGGGGCTAAACGCTAGTGCTGGCAGCAAACGGGGATGATCCTGCTAACACTGCGTTTTTGGGGACACGAATACGAAGGGGGCACTTGTATAGTTTTGTTCGTGATCAATATATTGATCCATACAAACACTATACTAGTAATGATGGTGATCAGCGACCTATAGAGTGCGATAGTGTGCGGGTAATCTAGGGAGGGACGCTAACTGACCCTGAAGCTATCTGACATTAGTAGTGGCACTACTACAGTGATCACTGAACAATACTGTACACTGACACTGTATTAATGGCACTGGCAGGGTGGCAGGGGGCAATCAAAGGGTTAAATGTGGCAATCAAGGGGTTAAAATGTCTCTATCTAACAACATGTGTGGGTGCAGTGTGCTGCTTTTACTCACACGTGATGTCTTGTCTCTCTGGAACAAAATGGTTCCAGGGAGAGAAGAACCAACTAGATCCTGTGCCTATATTTACAAATACAGGCATAACTCTCCATCTCCATTTGCTGTAGGAGATTGGCAGAGTCCCGGACAAAATCAAGAAGAGCAAAGCGACGCCCATCCGCAGTACACCTCACCACGCACTGTTATAGAAGAAAAGAGGGGATGATACTAATACATCTGATTTTGAGCAGGATAATTCTATATCTCTCAGATATTAGACACATTGGATAATTTAGGACAAGATAAATCAATTTTCAGGATTTCGTCTATAATAGTGGGCGATGAGGTTTAAGACATCCTTGTGTGACTCCAGCTGGGGCAATGGCGGCAGCTGTTAGTCACACCTTGGCTATAGGAGATGGTTTCCATATCTAACAGACCATGATGTATGTAAGAAAAATCTTTTATTCTTGAAGAGAATTTATTATTTTTTTCCTTGGAACATCATTTGCTGTATTGTGGATGTTGTTGACTGTGGTAAGAACCTTATATTGCAGAGTGGTATGATTTCCCTGAGGAAGGAGCTAATGAAAAAAGCTTTGAAACGCGTTGGATACACCAAGCTAACCAAGCAACAATCAAGAACCAACAGACTGTGTTAGTGTGGACATGCTTTGTACATGCAACAGCTGGGGATACCACTGTATAGAGATTGTCAATATATGTATGGTTCTGAAAATTAACCTTGTAACAGAGATGTGCAAAAAATGTTATAACTTTGTGGAGAACATGGATATGTGAAGTAATGCCTGCAAGAAAACTCTTTCTAAAGTCTATTGACTTTTTGTCATTATAAGTGTTTGAATAAATAAAAAAATGCTTTTATAAAAATATACAGTTTGTTGTATGGTTGCCTTAAAAATCCCATGGAAAAGGGTTTTCAATCAATTTGAT